TGGTCAGAGAAAATAACTACCAAGGAACTGTGAGAATAAAACAACCAAGTGACTATCTCTCAACAAATATGTAGGAAAAATTGGAGATGGATCAGGCATACAATTAGGAGGCAATCGAATCACTTCGCGTGTCAGTTGCATGAAAGGAATCCAAATGGGAAGAAATGTATTCCTCATCACAATGAGGGTGAAATGTAGGAGACTGTGTGGGAAGGAGATGAGGGATGGATTGCCAATCTGTGTTCCAAAATGAAGACGACGCTGGACGATACGAAAATGTGGAAATGTGTTGTTGAAGCTATAAGTTCCAATCGGAACTAAAAAGAATAATATTACTATAATACTTGTCAAATTGTAATCTCAGTTTAATTAGGCTACTCCGCCTACTTCGCCTCACAAAGGTGCACAGTATTTATAAATAGTGTATACGCTTACTTTCGTCATCGACACTGATATTCTTCCACACATCTGTGAACAAAAATACGAAGGCGTCATTAACGACAAGACAAATATATGTGGGTGTCTGTATGCACTTACAAGATAGGCTTCATGATATGAAGAATAGTTTCGATTGTATTCAATGTATGCAATCAGTGACATGCGTCTATTCGAGCAACAAGTCGATTACTCTGCAAAGACACGTTTCATGGTGAAGTGGGAAGACAATCTGAATGTAGATGTGTCCTTGTTCCTCACCATTCAGCCAGTGGCACTGTAAGTGAAATAACTGACTGAGCATTACGCAAACTGGTGTCTATCCAAAGAATTCAGACATGTCATAATACAAGCATTTTCGGCCACAATCACAAGATCGTGAGTGATTCTATAAGTACAAGCAAATGTACGTGACTTCATTCTTTGTCATGTCTGGCGGGCATGGCAATCTCACACTGATGCAGTATTCCAATCTATCATTGATGCATGTTGAGTATTCTTGTGAATTGTACTCATCCATCCTGCTCCACACCGTGTTGGCCAGCTTCAATAATCATCATTATTACTATTATTACTGTTCCTTTTGGTTCCTAATGGAACATAGGGATTCAACTGCAAGTCTCCACTTTATTCTCTCTTCTCCTGTACTTCTCACCTGCATCCATGTTAGTCCACTATGTTTCAACTCCTCTTCATACGATCTCCTACATGTCACACTCGAACTGACGTATCTCTCTCTGCGTGCTTCCTTTTCGAGTTACACTAGAGCAATGCCCTGACGCGCGCGCGATGTCAACCAGCGGCCTCCTCAGTGAGTGAGTCTCCAATATATATCCGCTTTTTCATGTGAATTTTTGCTTGGCGATTGGTCCTCGTTTTGTTTGTTTGTTCCCATAGTTTCTTGTTGGTGGTGATTGTTTCCGGCCCAGCCATCTGATCTTCAGTATAGAGCCAGCGATGACAGCTGTTGTTGATAAAGGTCTGAGTTAGCCTGTTTGAAATATTCTGTGAGACCCGCCGACAAGATTCTGATGCGTATAGAAGAATTGACTGACTTGACGTTTGTTTGTATTGAAAATCCG